TGATTGGCTGATGTATCATGCGTGTGTCATCTCAAATTTCTAAATCATCTGATGTCTAGGCTTTGCACTAGTACTGCTGAATTTATTTACAATTCGTAACCGGCTTTAGTTTTTTAAAAATATTATTGTTCAATATTCTATCAACCTTTCGTAACAACCTGTCGAATAACACTACACAAAATAGATTGTTAATTACTTCAGTAAAAATCGACATATTTACGAAAAGCTTAGAGGTAACTGTTCACAACTTTTAGCACTTTTTGAGCACTATTTTGAGATTTTGAGCACTTTTTGAGCACTTTTTAGCCATTTTTGTCAGCACTTTTTTTAGGATTTTACAATCGCAATCGGGAAAGGCCTACCCAAGTGTGTTTGTAGTGAGAAGTATACCGGCTGTCACGCCCTGTTATGCAAAAAGAGAGGGTTCGTGGCGCAGAGACACGATGGTGTTCGCAACCTACTTACCTCACTTATGGTAAGGTTTGCACCGACGTCGAACTCGAACCCCAACTACAACCTCTCAATGAGGAGCGATTCAACCTTAGAAGCGCTGTAACAAGCCCGGAGGCAAGGCAGGACTTCAAGGCAGGGGGCTTTTGGTCTCGTGGAGTTCCAGCATTGTTTGATGTCAGAGTAACACTTGTTAACTCCAAGTGTAACCAGGGAAAAACAACATCCACAATCTTCAAGGAGCAGGAGGAGGAGAAACAGCGGAAGTACCAACAGAGGGTACTGGACGGTGAAATGGGATCTTTCACTCCCCTAGTTTTTGGAACCAACGGTGGGATGGGAGCCGACTGCAACTGCTTTCTCAAACGCCTATAGCCAAAAAGTTCTCAGAAAAGAATGAGGAACCTTATCACATTACTATTACTTGGATTAGAACACTGCTTTCTTTTGAGATCTTAAGGTCGGTACACACATGCGTAAGAGGTTCCAGGACACCCTTCCACAAAGTTCCACAAGGGGATTTCATTGATGACTGCTGCTTAAACGCTAGCCAAGCGTGTGTCCGCTGATTTGAGAGGGTGATGGTGGCGTGGGCAAATTAGTATTTTAGGATCTTTTTAATATTTGTTTTCATTTTTAACCGAAATGAATTGTTTTTAATTAAAATGAATTTTTTTTAAATCGAAATGAACAGGAGCTATTGAAATGAAATGACTTGTAAATAGTGCTTTGACTGAATATATATATAGATATGTATTTTTTCTTCTTCAGCGAAATCAATGGTAAAAGGTTTTAATAGTTGGTTTTGTTATCAATAAAAGGTTATTAGTTAGTAGTTTACTTGGCTATCCATTCACAGTTCAGCACAAGCTAAACCCAACCTTTTTAAGCGCCTCAGTGTGCATTGCCTATCGAAAGTTGTTTCCGAAAGAGTGACAGATTTTCGAGCACAAGGACTAAACAAGTTGAATTGCACAATATGATGATAACAATATTTAGATACCAAGATACTAGCTACCAAGTTATGGCGTTGTATAAATGCAGGCTTTTGATTTTGAAATCAATTTTCTGCCTAAGAAATCAACGACGAAAAGTGTAATTTTTGGGGATGATTTTCAGCCAAAAAACTGGCTTTTTGGACTTTGCTGCCAAACGAACGGCGATATAAAGTGGAAATTGCGAGTTGCAGTTACTTTGTTTACTTTCATAATTACAGAATCTACCATTTAATGTTGTGAATAAATGTTCAAAAGGTTATAACTAAAGTAAGACAAGAAGCAAATAGGTAACGCATATACAGTATTTTTTACGCATATATGCGGTGAAAGGTTTTATACGGTGTTAGGCTTTAAAGGGTTAATCTAAATTGCTTTTGCCCGTAAGTTGACATTAAGATATTGCAACCTCTGCAAACTAACGATAATTAAGAGTAAGAGTAATATTGGAAAGTTTTGTGTCAACCGAAGCAAAAGATAAGGACTTAGATAGGGAGGCTAGTTGTTATAAGCCCCGCAGAGCTTCATGTTAGGCCAAGGCGCAAAACACGAAGTAAGTGGGGTGGCGAATTTTGAAATTAAAGACTAAGAGCGAAATATTCTTAATTCAACATAAGCAGCAGCGTATAGCTAGTCACCGTAAAGTGTTGCAATGTGGATGAAAATACTTGTCACGTGACTTTTTGAAGCGAAAAACCTCAACCCGAGACCACTCCTAACCCTAACTGTTAACTACTAACTCACTTGGAGGTCAAAGCACCAATAGTTATTTTGTAATCCCAAGAAAGCCCCTTGGTTGGAGTCTAGCTGGGCCTTACATTTTCTGGGAGTGTCAAATATCTAGGTCACGCGATACAAATCGTTCCCATAAAGCATAGCAAGATATCTGCAAAACCACACGTATGATACAATACAACAACTTTTATTACTTCTTTTGAAGGCTATTCTGGAGTTCTTGTGTTATATTGTTTTTAATTCACTGAGTGAAGTGATTCGCTAATTCTCCATTGTTTTTTGCATAATCAGACGTTGTGTTGTGTTGCAGTTCTGAAAAAGGAAATGCGTGGGAGATCTGGGTACCAGATTAGCGTGTACATTTTGGGGGTTGAATGCCTCAGAGAGGCCCTCAGTGACCTTAAAAGACCTAAAACTGACCCCATGTGAGGGAATCTGGATTTTGGAATCAGTGAAATTTTTGAATATGGTATCCGGATTGCTGGGCTTTGGAATCCTGAATGCAGCTCAATGAGTCCGGAATCCCATACCTGGATCCAGAATCCAAGACTGTCTTGGATTCTCTTACATGGAGCGATAGAGTCATGCCGGGTGCATTTGGCATAGTTGGGGGCCCAGTTACCTAATTATCCCAGGCTGTGTAACAAAAGCAATACTTCCAGCTAATTAAAATTGTGAGCGGTGAGGGTAAACACCGCTTAAAGGTGTTTGTCTGAGTTTTCTAGTCAGATTTTTTTGGTGGGTCTGAGTTTTCTCAAATTCTCTCTTGGTTTTCCATATTTGCTCTTTACGAATTGAATCCTTCGCGGTTTTTTCTTTTAAAAACACCCAAATTCACCGAAAATTAATCATCCTTCACTGAATACCCTTCACTGACTCAAAGAAAAGGCCCAAAATGATGAATAGTTATGCCTAGTTCTCAAAAATAAATTGCACCAAGGGATCGAGTCCAAAGATCAAAAGAAGCTGCTAGAGTCACGAACCGACGAATTTCGAAGGATGCATGATTTTGGCTGTCGGTGCGCTTCCTGTTCAACTGACGATTTTTCAGTTTTTTTTAAAAAGTTATCCAGAAAAAGAAGAACGCGTTAATGTAATCTAGGTTCGAAAGAAAACTGGACACAAGCACAATTCCTTTTAGAGGAGCCGTAAGGTTGGGTCCTTCGTACAATTCACGACTATTAAATATGACAAATAACGAATAACGGTAATTAACATTCCCATTGCAGTTACTCTTCACTGTAATAAACATGAAAGTGAAAAAAGATCTTAGTGTTTTGAAATATTGCCATTGAGAATTTCTTTCTTATTTCATTCCCGAGCGTCAGTTGCAACTTTTTTTATCTCCATGGAAAAAAGAGGTCAAAACACTAATAAACGAGCAACGCTGTATCATTCAGTCCATCACGAGGCTTTACTGAAGTGCGGTTTGTCAGTGTCTGTTTGTTTGATCCGGTTGATAACCTGCTATAAGTTAAGGATATGTTCACACCACGAAACCCATACAGTATAGGGCTACTGTTCACACATAGGCGGGTTTCCGTAACGAAGCGAAGCTGCCGCAGCCGGCCGGCGCGCCGATCTCCAATGTGAAGAGTCACATATAGGCGTTCATATTATACCAGATAGCTCTTCGTGTTGGCCAGCCTCTCTCCGAACATTGCCGGAAATTCTTCTTATTTTACGCATGGTAAAAGGTTTTTACAGCGAAAAAAAAGAAAATTTAACAAGTATCAAGTATTACAAAGGATACGAGGATGTGAATAATTTTACAGTCCACAGATCAAAGCAGCTAGAGAATATTAAAAAATTTTCTTGAACGATGGCGATTTATTTATAGCCATGGCATGGGCTAATAGTTTCCTTGGTAAAAATTCTTGTACAAATTTGGGAAATTTTAAGTATTTTAAGAAGAAAGCAGAGGCTGAGAGTCTGAAAAGGAATCAATTTTGTGTTTGAAAATCTATAAATACAATACAATTTATGTTCTTAGCTTAACCGCACAAAATTATTCCCTTCACTAAACGGCAAGAACACTGGTAATTGACAGACCAATACATTCTAAAGCGGAAACGCCTTAAGCTATTATTTATTGTTAAGAATATTTTCAAGGATATTTTCATCCTAAAATCGAAAGAAAGGTAAGAAAATTCAGCCTGGGCCGGATAAACAACACTCTTATATACACAAACAAGAATGTTCGATTTGTTCAAAATAGGCATTCTTAAGTTCAAGGAAACAAAGCCGTTTGAGGTTCTGAGTTGCAGTCATCCATTTCTTTCTTTCAAGTATACCGGTTCTTTTCAGTTTGTTCGCAGAACGTGAAATGCGAATAATTAGCATACGCTATGACTTCTCTGTAGTCCGCAGCATGATTTAATTATGCTATAAAATGAACCACCCTCTCCCTCATTGATTGTAGTCTACGAAGACGCTTGCTGCAACTACACTGGTCAGTTTCTCACTTACCAAGTAAGTACTTAAAAAGTAGACCTTTGTCAAAAATAGTTTTCGCAATTAATAGATGTAGACAGAAAAGTCCACGAACAAATGGTTACTCTCTATTATCAACTGTGCGTGAATTCCCAAATTTATACAGATTTTATTAAAGTGATTATTGCAGTCTTTGGATTTTTGACTTTTGAATCCAAGACAGATGAAGCCATTGTTAACAATTTTCCTGTTGGACCGCTAAACATAACCGCTTCTATAAGTCTCGTTATTAGCAGCTTACTCTCAATCATACTTTGCTTGAGACCTGTATGTGAATCTCTCGACGAATCGACTGTTTTTTTTCAGAAATAACCTCTGATATTTCCAATACCATACGTAATATTATAACTCGGGTTTCGTTGGTAGTCATCACACTGGCGATAGCTATATTGCTACCACACTTCGCGCTCATAGAAGCTCTTATGGGATCTTTTCTGATGATCTTTACCGGGTTTTGGATTCCCTGATTGGTGCATTTAAAGGTAAAGTACCTCGAACTCAGTAGATTGCAGATTTATGCTGACGTTATAGTCCTGGTATTGTCAAGTGCGTTTTCTGTTTTGGGCATTTACTTCTCTTTAAAAGTTCTCGTTCAGGCAGGCTTGAACAGGTTTTAGAAAAGCGCTTTCCTGTCTTTTCACTCTTTTAAATATTGTCTGCCGCCAGGGGCAACCCACGCGCGGCAAATCTATGTAGTAGTTATTCCGTAGTTTACTTGGCTATCCATTGACTGTCTAGAACAGGCGAAACAATCCTCTGTGCATTTGCCCAAGTCGAAAGTTGTTTCTGATAATGTGGAGATTTTCGAGCACAAGAACTTCATAATTCGCTCTTAATAACATGTTAAGTAATAACAAAATTTTTAATTCATCAATGAAGGCTACTCGAGGATCAGGGAAAGATCCTTTAAAATGGAAGTATCTCAGTGACCTATAATTTACAATAGAGCAGCGAACCTGATTATTATGCGAGCATCAGCGCAGAGGTGTAAACGAGCGAGCCACACCAAAAAGCTTGTTACCATAATGTACCCTAACACTCGCCTTATATTGATTAGAATCATTCTGATTGTGAACCTTTCTTTCAATAACGGACAATTTCGTAATTTTTACAAAGTTAAAACGAGGTAATTTTCTCAAACGAGCTTTGTGTGTGGAGTGAACAGCTCTTCCATTTCCCTAACTTATTGAAAACTACAGTAACTAAACCAGTCTCCTCTCCAGGCCTTTTCGCGCTATTCAAGTGAGCGGGGGAGGGGGGTGGGGGGTTTGGGCCTTGGAACCGGACGCGATACAGGTGACGTCAAATTTGCAAACGCCGAGGACGACTGGGAACGAGGCTGTAACTAAGCGTCTCTAACAGCGTTCTTTAAGGCCAATTTTCTTCTTCGAGAGTAAGATTCCCGTCCGTGACAACTGGGAGTTTGAAGGTGGGTTTGATTGTACCCCTGCTCTTTCTTAAGAAGAGACGACGGTGAGATAGTTCACTGGTTACCAATTTCTCTCAAGTACAGTGTTGCGCGTTGGGAAGAAATCGGCTGGCACTGGCCTTAAGAAAGGCACAGAAATCCCACTGCAAAGTCAGATAAACTGACAAACGATGTTAGTGATTTTCTTGTCCTTCTTCCCATTCCTCTTCATTTTCTCCAGCATCATCCCCCTGTTCACCCTCGGGCTGTCCGCGATAACTTAGAGTATTAAGCAGTTCTCTCATAGCAACCATTAGATTTTCCACGCCCCGCGCGAACTCTGTATCTCGTAAAGGCCTGGGCCCTCCCTCTGCTCCTTCCACGGGCTGTTCAAGCCTCATTTCTAAACGTTCGCGTTGTCCGTCGGCAGTCTGGGAGTAAAAAGAAGGGAGAAGCGAACGGAAAAACATAGACAAAGCGCCGCCGTGTTCTTCTTCACGAGGTAGGTTTCTGAAAGAACAGTTTTAAAAAAATCGTTAAATCTCGCGCTTTTTAAGATGGGAAAAGGCGGACTTAGAAAAGACGACGACGGCGCGGACAGATCTAAAAACCGACTTGACCAATTGACCAATTGACCAATGGCAGAACGGCAAACAGAACACCGGAAATCGCTTTCAGCAAGTTCATCGTAAGCCTATACATCTTCGTTCCCAGGGTCCTCTCCTAATCGGCTCACGGAGCGAGAGACAGGGCTGAGTAAGGGAGAACCATGGGAACGAAGTTGTAGCCAATAACCCGTAACAAGCAATTTACATAGACTCGTGCTAAGACGTTTAAGTCCTTAATAAAAGTTGCGTTGACTTTGCTAAATCCGCCTGACACTCATTCATGGGCGAAATGAAAATATCCAAATCTTCCTCTTACCTTCGTGGTCGCATATACCCTGCAAACGACTCGCGAGGTGGCAGAGGGTCATACGACAAAAGAGGAACATTCGCCAAGTCCTGAAATACAGATAATATAAAACTTTCGCTTCAGTCGGATAGGGGTGTTCGATTGGTATTTGAAAGCAGGGCCGAGTTACCACGATGATAAGCCCAGACCATAGTTAGTAGAGGACTACTGGTTATAAAAGCCGGCAAACATCAAAGACGAAAACAATGGAGCTGTAGTTTATGATGGACGCTCCTTGACCGTGCACGATCCTTTGTTGTTTTGTTCAGAAATTGCGACTTATTAAAATGACATTGAACGTTGTACACGGTCAGGTCCAAAACAGCTTACAAAAACATATAACAAAGGACTCTAACGGGCTTCATAATCATTCCACTTTATTAACTATGGCCAGACACAGGGCAAGTTACCATGACAATTAAACAACCTAGTTCCCAGGCTCCTTTCTTGAAAGAGGAGGAGAAAGGAACCTGGGAGCAAAGTTGGACAACACATTTGCTCTGTTTGCAGTTATTTCAGAATAAGAGCTAACTTGTCTTCCAATAGTAAGCAAGATCTATGGCACGACCTGGTTTTGGATCAACAGAAAGCAGAAAAGCCTAATGGCGAAGTAACCGGAGCCATTTGCCACTTTAGAAGCGAGAGGGAATCTGGGACGAGTTAAGTTTCGCAAAGACCTCTGGGACTGTCACTAGGGACAGCGAAAAAAATTGACCAATAGCTGACCGGCGACCTGTGCATGCTCAGTAACGATCCCAGAAACAATTACAGGACGCATTTCATGTCCAGTTCCCATCTCGTTTTTGAGCCACCAAACTGTACGTATGAACGAGTTAACTTTCGCAAAGACCTCTGGGACTGTCCCTAGGGACAGGGAAAAAAATTGGCCAATGGCTGATCGGCGACTGGCGCATGCCCAGTAACGATCCCAGAAACACTTGCGGGACGCATTTCGGCTCCAGTTCCCATCTCGTTTCTGAAGTGGCCAATTAGAACAAAGCCTTTCTTTTAAGACTTAAGTTCAGAGAAGGTTTAAAATTCTAAAGAGGAGAAATCGTCAACAGTCAAAATTCATACAACCTGGGTTCAATTTAATAAAACTTTCACAAGTGTAATTTACAATTATAGCTTTTGTTTTTAGTCCCTACAATAATAGCTACACTTGTAAATTACACTTGTAAAAGTTTAATTAAATCGACCCCTGGACTTCGTAATTTTAGAACTTGGCTATAAAAATACACAACTGACAATCCAAAGTGTGACACTTGTTTGTAAGAAAACTGGCCACCAAACTGTACGTATGAACGAACAGCAGCAAGGCCTGAAGGCACTCAAAAGCAAAACAAAGCAACGTGACATAACTTACCATGGGAAGAGAAGCTGTGGCGTCCTTAATATCTACAACAAAAGAAAAAGGCTTTTAGCAGTCTGTCGAAAATGACGTTGACCTGTTGTTGTTGGCAATCACTGAGTTTTCGACAACCTGAACGAAATTCATCTTCAGAGTGTTGAAATTGTTAATTGTATAAATATAGCGAGACGGGGAGAGAATCCTACTCCAGCTAAGGAGTTTAACACGCTGACAGAAGGTTATCAACTATACAACTGACCACACAGCAACTTGACGAGGAAACCGGTCGTTTCGATGCAAGTCGTTTCAGTGCGAACTCAAGAAGTACAACTACAACCACGCCAAGGACGTGAAACTATTTACACGTCGACTGGATCAACTTGTATCGAAACGACCTGTAACCCTTGACAGTGTTACACGCCATTTTATTTCGTTACGGTTATATGGGGTTGAAAAGTGAACACATTTCGGGTATTACAGGGTATCCCTTAACAAGCATATCATGTGGCACATAATCAGATGTCCGATATCAGTCGATATCCTTTTTCCGACTTGATATCCCTCATCGAATATGTCACGTGGTGCGCAATAGAAATTTGTTAGTCTTTGAAAAAAAAAAATAGTTCGAGTTAATTTTTGCAAAATAAATTAATGGAACCATTTGATTACTGAGACAAATAATCGCTTTTTAATTCCAACAAGCACACTCACCTGACATCAAAATGTGCCGGTAAACATTTCTCGGTGTTCCCCTGTAACGTACTTGTCGCCTAGAAACAGAGATGAATAGAATCAACCACAAAATAGGGTAGGTTGAACGAACCTACAATCCTGGACAAAAGTCCTTGGGACTGTACTGCTATATTCATATTTTTCTGTCATTTCTCGGTTCCCTCTTAAAACAGTGCATCCTTTTCGAAATTTTCTTGCACTTCTCCCTCTCCCCACCCTATACAAAGTTGAAACTCGGAAAAAATTCTGGATGCACGCGTCCAACATTGTTTGTGGGGTGAGGGGAGGGGTTGGACCTGTGTGAATTGGAAAACGCCCCAGAAACGCAAAATTGTCCAAAGACTTTTGTCCATGATTGTAGTTTAGTGACCTTTGCTCTCCAGATGAACAGTATATGGAGACTAGTAACCATGGCCCCGGTTGTTCAAGCGTTGGGGAAACTAATTGCACTAACCACTGGACAGAGATTTATCTGGCCCTGTTTGTTCAAACGTTGGATAGCGCTATTCACCGGATAAAAATCTGTTCAGTGGATAACGCAATTAGTTCCCCAATACTTATCCACTGGATAGTGATTCATCCGGTGGATAGCGCTATCCAACGTTTGAACACCCGGGTCCTGGTAGATAGCGCTATCCAGCCTTTGAACAACCGAGGCCAGAAGGTCAAAGGTTCGACTCCTGTTGGAAGTATCTGGATTTTTTTCTTCCGAGCCGCCTGAGTCACTGACTGAATCGAACATCTTTCTCATGTATTCACTAGGCTTAAAATTCACCACCACATTTCCATCAGAGTTTTATCCCGTTTTAACTTTTTTACTGTTTGCCTAATTTGCAGAATTTAGAGAAAAAAAGTAGTTTGAAGGCAGTTTTAGCGACAACAAATGTTGATACGTATGTGCACTAAATGTGTACGATATTTCTTATCTACAGTTTGAATATGATTTTATCACTCCCTGATGAGTTTCCGCGTTAATAATACCCTATTTTACACAAAAATAACCTGATTTTATTTCCTGACAGAGACTTGAAGGGTTGAGAACTATACCCTTTACGGGGATGATGTGAGCTATGGACCAAGTCAATACAGTAAGTAATGGTTACCACCACTGGTATCGCCGCGAAATGACGTCTGAGAAACAAGCGCAGAAATTCCATACTAGTCACGTGTCACTGCTCAGATATGAGAAGTACTTCTGATTGGTTAGAGCAAATTTCCCTCGCGGTACGACCAATCAGAGACACTACCCAGACCTGGTTAGTGACGCGTCATCAGTCTGGAATTTCTGCGCTCGTTCCTTGGACGTCATTTTGCGGGGAAACCAGTGATGGCGTCGCCAAATGCAGGCTGTTTTCTCAGCCTGGGTAAACGACGCACATGCTTCTTACAACAACACATACCCTTATAGCTAATATGAATAGTGTTATCCTCTGCAGGTTGATGGTTCAAGTTAGTGTTAAAGGTTTACACAAGTACAAGAAACTAAAAAGCTGCACTTACTTTTGTTTACATTCTTGCACCAAAGGATCCTGGGCCTGGACTCTTTCTAAAACTACTCTGACATTCACCGCAAGCCAATCAATAACCTAAAATGAAACAGGACAAAATTATTTGTTAGAAGGTGCTTGATTGAGCAGTGGTGATCGGGGCTGAAGTCGTTTGAAAAATACCGAAACTTGATTATCAATTTCCACTAAACTGTTAGTACGAAAGTTTTACTCAAAACTAAATTAAACTACAGTCACAGTCAAGACATGCAACTGAAAGCAATACAAAGTAAACCTTAGCTTCGTAGAGGTTTAGATTTACACTCTGCGTTTTACTGTGATAATACATAAAAAGCCAGTTGTTACCCGTTCAAGGTAATATACTTCTGAAAAAAAGCTGATAGCGAAAATTTTAAAAAATACGTCTGGCGTTTGCGAATTTTACGAACTAACAAGTCTTGGGAAAATTATAGAGCACGTTAAAATTGAAAAAGTGACTTATTTTTTGACAAAGGCGTTCAAGCAATTATTGTCATTGTCTCTCACCTCTGGTTCCTTCCAAACATGGTAAGTTCTACCAATGTACAAACCTTCCAGTTGCTTTAGAGCAAGAGGGTCACTATAGGTCAACATGAAAAAAAACAAACAACAACAACAACAACATTAAAATCTAGTGAAGGTACGGTAAATAGGCCAGGAACACGTGACGAACCCCTAAGAACGACTGCGTGGGAAGCTACAAAATCGTGCACCTTGTTTTGCAAAATTTCTACAAAACGAGTTGAATAGCGATGTTGCGCGTTTTATCTCCCAAGAATCAGAGCTGTCTTGCACCAAATTAGGTTGTTGCAGGTTACAGAAAGTAGAGGGTAGTTCTACTTAGTGCAACAAAATCTGCACATGTTTCGCGTTTTATCGGCCTTAGGGAAACTTGTTTTGCAGCCAGTGACGTAAATCCCGTGTGTGGTAGACTACGAGCAGTCTCTCTTTTTTCTGTCGTCCGTCGAGCAAAACACGAGATACGCACATGGCCACGCGCGTGACTGATGGCGCAAGATGGGAGAGGCTGCCGCCCTCGTTTCGCGCGTCTCGCGGCTTCGCCGCTCGCGCGCGAGTGCACTACCCTTACAAGATCTGAAGAAAAAGAGAGACTGCTCGCAGTGTACGCGTATGGCGTGACTCCCGCGTAATTCTAGCATTCACGCACCCTGCAACAACCTGATTTGTTGCAAGAGAGGTTTGATTCGTGGGTGATGAAATGAGCAACATAGGTTTTTAACTCGTTTTGCAACAATGTTGCAAAACAAGTTCGATGTTTTTTTCGCGGAATATGTTTTGTGGAATATTAAAATTAGAAAATTTGGGCGATTTACTCTACCTGTTGAATGACGCGGGAGAAAAGAATTGATGATTGATTAGCGAGGAATCCAACACAACATTGCATTTGTCCATAAGGGAAGATAAAACCTACAAAGTTCAACGCACTGTTAGTACAAACCAACAAACCTTCTATCATTCCATTATTTAGCTGGTGCAGACTTCAACATGATTGAGTCTGTCATCAAAATTTGTTGTCATTAGTTATCGCTTTTACCTGTTTATCAGGTTCCAGTCTTTTTCGAGATGTTTAAATTTTACTGTAATCTTTTTAACCGTCACTTCTGAAGATGTATGTTGTTACATACGAAACGTCAAATCTTTGAAATCTTAGTTGTTTGCAACATGCGTTGTTTCATCATGTTTGTTACCGCAGTTTGTGTTTTATTTTTACCGAAGTTGAAATGGCCGAAGAATAAGAGTGTTCACTCAATGTGGTGGCAGTTTTCACGGTTTGAATTTCGACTACATTTCGTTTAAAAAACATCGTATTCGAATGAAAAGAAAAAAAAAACATGACCGTTTAGCCTGCTTTTTAAAGAAAACTGGTGACTGGATTGTTCTGGTAGTTAATTTAACGGTTTAGACAATATTTCCTAAGAAATTGCTACCACTTACCGATGGAAACATAATTAAAGCTGTCTGAAGCTGCAATGTGAATAAAAGATAACATAAAGTAAGCGTGAGCACCTTTGTAATCTAGTGTAAGCCTACGACATCAGACAACTCGGCCCCTGGGCATCACGCCCCGGACTATTAACCCCCAATTTCAAGATGATTAGCCCTTTGCCCCCGAGTTTTTCTTCCTCCTTTTACTTTTTGCTTTCTAATAACTGAGGGCTAATCGTTGAGAAATTGGGGGCTAATTTTCAAAGGATTTGGTAGCCAATTGTACAGGGTGAATTGTCCGGGCGGCGAGTTGTCCTGGATCCAATGTAGTTAAGCACATTCTGAGAATGGCAGAGAGGACCATCGACTATCATCAGGACCATTGTTAGAATGACCTGGATGGCAGCAAACTGCTAAAATTTATATGGGAAATGGGCAAGGCTCAAGAGAAGATAACAGTGGTTTGGAAATGTTTTACTTGGAGCTTAGTAGAATTACTCACAACAAAAAAGGACTTTTAGAAAGTCTAGGAGTGTGGAAGTGATTCTGTTCAAAACTAATAATAAAAACAAAAACTATTACATGTGCACATTGAAATACACTATAACCGAAAGGAACTTACCATTTCATCTGCTTTTTGTGTTTCAGTAGTTTGTTTGCTGGCATGGAAGTAGGCAAGAGCCACAGAGAAGGCAAAATTTGGAAGCTGAGACAAGTTTCTGTGAGACTAAAAGCAAGAAAAGAAATTCTATAATTAAGTTACTTTGCTGTATTTAAAAGAGAATAAACAAGGACTGTTGAACATACTTCTGATTGGATGAAAAGGTGGCGCGAATCTTTTAAGCCAATCGCATCGTGTAGAAAGTGCAAAACCAATTACTTTTCGACACTCAAATGAAAACCGCTCTAAAAAGCTGCACTTACTTTTGTTTACATTCTTGCACCAAAGGATCCTGGGCCTGGACTCTTTCTAAAACTACTCTGACATTCACCGCAAGCCAATCAATAACCTGAAATGAAACAGGACAAAATTATTTGTTAGTAGGTGCTTGATTGACCAGTAGTGATCAGGGCTGAAGTCGTGTGAAAAATACCAAAACTTGATTATCAACTTCCACTAAACTGTTAGTACGAAAGTTTTACTCAAAACTAAATTCAACTAGACGAGTCACAGTCAAGACATGCAAAAAGCAATACAAAGTAAACCTAAGCTTCGTAGAGGTTTAGATTTACACTCTGCGTTTTTCTGTGATAATAGATAAAAAGCAAGTTGTTACCCGTTCAAGGCAATATACTTCTGAAAAAAGCTGATAGCGAAAATTTATATTTTAAAAAATACGTCTGGCGTTTACGAATTTTACAAACTAAAAAGTCTTGGGAAAATTATAGAGCAAGTTAAAATTGAAAAAGTGACTTATTTTTTGACAAAGACGTTCAAGCAATTTTTGTCATTGTCTCTCACCTCTGGTTCCTTCCAAACATGGTAAGTTCTACCAATGTACAAACCTTCCAGTTGCTTTAGAGCAAGAGGGTCACTATAGGTCAACATGAAAAAAACAAACAACAACAACAACAACATTAAAAACTAGTGAAGGTACGGTAAATAGGCCAGGAACGCGTGACGAACCCCTGAGAACGTCTGCGTGGGAGGCTACAAAATCGTGCACCTTGTTTTGCAAAATTTCTGCAAAACGAGTTGAATAGCGATGTTGCGCGTTTTACCTCCCACGAATCAGAGCTGTCTTGCAACAAATCAGGTTGTTGCAGTTTGCAGAAAGTAGAGGGTAGTTCTACTTAGTGCAACAAAATCTGCACATGTTTCGGGTTTTACCGGCCCTAGGAAAACTTGTTTTGTAGCCAGTGACGTAAATCCCGTATGTGGTAGACTACGAACAGTCTCTATTTTTTCTGTCGTCCGTCGAGCAAAACGCGAGACACGCACATGGCCACGCCCGGGACTGATAGCGGGAGATGGGAGAGGCTGCCGCCCTCGTTTCGCGCGTCTCGCGGCTTCGCCACTCGCGCGCGAGTGCACTCCCCTTACAAGATCTGATGAAAAAGAGAGACTGCTCGCAGTCTACGCGTATGGCGTGACTCCCGCGTAATTCGAGAATTCACGTAACCTGCAACAACCTGATTTGCTGCAAGAGAGGTTTGATTCGTGGGTGATGAAATGGGTAACATAGCTTTTTAACTCGTTTTGCTACAATGTTGCAAAACAAGTTGGATGTTTTTTTCGCGGAATATTTTTTGTGGAATATTAAAATTAGAAAATTTGGGCGATTTACTCTACCTGTTGAATGACGCGGGAGAAAAGAATTGATGATTGATTAGCGAGGAATCCAACGCAACATTGCATTTGTCCATAAGGGAAGATAAAACCTACAAAATTCAACGCATTGTTAGTACAAACTAACAAACCTTCTATCATTCTATTATTCAGCTGGTACTTTACCAGGTTGGAATTTTTATTCCCCACTTTAGAAGCTGAAGGGAGAATGGGTACAAGCTTTGAGTACAGTGATTTCTGGGAAGGCTTGGGTGGGAAAGCATTAGTTATGATTGGTCGATTGTAATCAAGGCAACCATTGACCAATCACAAGTAACATTTGGCCACCAAAACGATCCCAGAGATCGTTGCGCCGAAATCTTGTACCCATTCCCCTTAAAAAGTCTCTGGATCATAAAGTGGGGAATCGGTATTCAGTATTGGATTAAAAAAAATACCGTAATACCGTATTCGAATAAAAAGAAAAAAAAACATGGATGATTGGCCTGGTTTTTGAAGAAAACTTGAGACTGGATTATTCCGGTAGTTAGTTTAATGGTTTAGACAATATGTCACGAAAAGTGCTACCACTTACCGATGGAAACATAATTAAAGCTGTCTGAAGCTGCAATGTGAATAAAAGATAATATACGTAAGCGTGAGCACCTTTGTAATCTAGTGTAAGCCTACGACATCAGACAACTCGGCCCCCGGGTGTCACGCCCCAGACTATGAGCCCCCAATTTCAAGTAGATTAGCTCCTGCCCCCGAGTTTTTCTTCCTCCTTTTCCTTTTTGTTTTCTAATAACTAAGGGCTAATCGTTGAGAAATTGGGGGCTAATTTTCTAAGGATTTGGCGGCGAGTTGTCCTGGATCCAATGCAGTTAAGCACAGGGGAAAAAGATAGGAAGGTTAAATTCTGAGAACGGCAGAGAGGACCATTGACCATCTTCAAGATCATTGTTAGAATGACCTGGATGGCAGCCAACTGCTAAAATTTATATGGAAAGGGGCAAGGCTCAAGAGAAGATAACAGTGGTTTGGAAATGTTTTACTTGGAGATTGGTAGAATTACTCACAACAAAAAAGGACTTTTAGAAAGTCTAGGAGTGTGGAAGTGATTCTGCGCAAAACTAATAATAAAAACAAAAACTATTACATGTGCACAATGAAAAACACTATAACCGCAAGGAACTTACCATTTCATCTGCTTTTTGTGTTTCAGTAGTTTGTTTGCTGGCATGGAAGTAAGCAAGAGCCACAGAGAAGGCAAAATTTGGAAGCTGAGACAAGTTTCTGTGAGACTAAAAGCAAGAAAAGAAATTCTATAATTAAGTTACTTTGCTGTATTTAAAAGAGAATAAACAAGGACTGTTGAACAAAGTCAGATATTTATACCTCCCACTCTTCAAAGAGTCTGATGAGGAAACTAAACTGCTCAGATCTTAAGGCATAAAAATCAATCATAAGTAAAACTCCAAGGGGGTCTTCTTCTGGTTCCAGGCTGAAAGAAAAAAAAGGTAACCACATTAAACTAACAGTTGCAACATTAAGATCTAGAAAGAGAGTGTAAACTTTTAAGTGTTTTTACAGACCAAGCCCCACAAAAGTTAAGTGGTATGTTAGATTTATGAGATTTCAAGAAACCAACAACATCAATGAGGGTAATTGGAACTTCTGAGAAATGGCAGCATCATTGCAACTCTAAAATTTGTTTTTAAGGAACAAGTAGAGTTACATGTACACTTTGGTATTTCCAGAGGTTTAACCCTTTATGCACCAAGATCCACATACAAATTCTCCAGACTTATCTCCATACATTTCTTTTAAGAATAGTTGAGAGAATTTGGTTTAATATCAAAGCATTCTCCTTTTGGTAATCAATTTAGTAATTCTCATGACCTTTACTCTTGATGATCTGCTGATGTTGTTAGGAGAAAATTGATATTGGTCAGTCATGGGACCTAAAGCATTAAATAAACGGAGTTGAGACCTCAAATGAAACATTTAAGTATACAACACTCAGAAAGATGAAGACTGCTGGCATTACACACTTTCAGTTTTTTATTACAAGAAATGTGTAATTCATTTGTTAAAATAGCAGTTGGCCTAGTATTTTCACTTTGTAAAACACTTTCACCTCAGCAGAAGCTTGCACAACTCCAAAGATGTTCTGTAGCAGCCTAAAATGAGAAAAAAAGAATGACGTCAACTTGTAAGGCATGACAAGGCAGACTTTATGGTAACAAAGTGCTTTAATTACCTTTTTGCCCAACAAAGATGATTTGACGAAACAGAGCAATAAAGAAGGACCTAAAAAAAAAACTTGATACATGAGATCTTGCTGGTGGCAAATTATTAAAGAAAGATGAACAGGTTTTAGCACTGCAGTATTGTCTAAAATTACATTTCAGTAATTTGTACATTTGAAGCCTGAATAATAGTGGCAAGGTACTAGAAAATTGTTGTCATTATAATGGGCTTACATAGAAACAAAAAATGGAATTGGCTTTCAAGGATGAATAAAATCTTCATTTCATTTCTTTTCCTTCCATCAGCTTTGGAGCCAAGTACTGGGTATGGATTTTGATTATTTGAAACTAACCTACACTTATTTACTTCCTTTATCTAATTATTAAAACAAAAAGGTTATTTAATATGTCACCTGTTTTCTGCCTTCCTGTAGTCAAGTCTTGTGTAGTCCTGTGTAAGACTAAACACAGTGTGAAAACTTCTTTCAAGACAATACAGGGCTCTTTCTGAAATAAAAAAATAATAATATAATATAAATCAGGAGACAATAAGGTACGCTCACAATGCCAAACCTGATGTTTACTTCATCTTTATTATACGGTTCTTGGCAATGAAAAAAGTTGCTGTTACCTTTGAGTTTTATTGAGTACTACCTTAAAGAAACTCCTGGGTATATAAATATACAGGGTAAGTATTATTGAAGTTCAAACTCTATTGCCATGCAGACACTCAAATCTGGACAGTTGAAAAAAGACTGTCCAATCTCAACGTTTTCTGAAAACAAAAGAATCCCAAGTTGTTTTGCAAATGGACCAACAACATTAATAAATTTGAGGGCCGTTTCCTGAGAGGTCAAGTAAGTTCAAATGGTTCACATCAGTTGCACAGTTTAATCTTTATTTTTATTGGTCTGTTTGCAAAAAACTTGAGAATCTTTTGTTGTCAGAAAACGTTGTGAGCGGGCAATCTTCTTCCCTGTGTCCCACTTTGAGTGTCCACACTGAAAGCAGGGACCCTTGGAAAAGAGACGAGTGGCTGCTTCAAAAAGTTGGTTGCTTTATAGAGACGCTGTTTACAGTGATTTACTGACAATTTTAGCCCAGAGGGACTTTTGTACCTGGCCCCTAAATAGAGAGAGGTCACTGAACAGGGGTTTTGTTTCAGACCGGATGCTGGACACAATGTCTGGTTGTTTGACATGTAACGTTTAGTAGTTTGAGCATAAAATAAGTATTTTTTAAGTGTGAAAATCATTTCTTGTTTGATTTAACATTTTGATGAGTCAATGCAACAACTGAACTGGACATTTTTATTACTATCTGTAAACCATCTGTCACTGGGGATTTGTACACGCCTTCCGATTTGGAAATTGTTTTGGAATCAACTAAAAAATAAACAACTGCAAACCCATAATGATCTATTATAATTATTATTGTTCAGTCAAATATTTAATTTTTTGTGAGCAATTTTTGATGCCGTAAAAGACTTTCCCCGTTAACCAATTCCAGTCCAGGGAATGCAGGAAATTGCATTTTAGAGAGTACAATTTTAAAAAGTTCCCAGGGGAACATGCCCCCCAATCCACCTAGAAGTTCAAACTTCGTGCCTGTGGCATGAACAGCGCAAGTCTGCCAGCTGAACTTCTGTATCCGGTACCTCCAAATGCTACCAAAAACCCTGACTGAATAGGAAGTCACTTAACAGAGGTTGATTGCATTACCACAGAAGAGGTGAAGGCAAAACATTATTATATAAATGTAAACCCACCAATAAGTTCTGCAGCCATTTGGAAATCCTCACCCATTTTACAGATTTCACTGAGTTGCAGCAAGGAATCCACATGGTAAGGATGAGTGTGTAAGATATCCTGCAACAAAATATCATCACAACAATAACCATCACTGTGAGAGAAGAACAACATAGACCAGTTACTAATTTGTAATTATTGTATTCTTACGGTTTTTAGCTTATCTAATATTATAATCAATAATGTATTCTACCAGTGAGATTTTCATAGTTTTTGATTAAGTAAGTGGGATGCAAAAGGGTGTTACTTGAGTACTTCTCACATAATTTTATACATTCTGGGATATAGAAATTTTTATTATTGTCTTTCATATTTGTAACCTGCTTAATTATTATTATTTTCATGTATTGTATTATTATTAATTATTTTTGTCATGTGTTTTATACATGAGCCTCTGGCTCGGATACTCGGGGCACCCTATCCCATGCTATTACACCAATAAATTGATTGACTGATTGATTAATTGAATCAGCCTACACCTACCAACTTTTTTAAAAGTTCAAAAAAAGGGATTGTTTTTGGGAGTGCAAGGATTTTCAGTCGTGGTCCAAACATTGCTGTAGAGGACCTGAATGTTTTCTTTGTTTCGCATCTGTGGGATAACAAAATTAATACAACATAATCTTATTCATTCATTCAATAAGCTCAACATTTTCCATCTTTCAGATGAATCACCGCCTGGTTATACAAAGGATGCATTTGACATAATACGCTGATTATGACCCCAAAAGTAGAGAAGATGCATGTCGAATGTCAAGTATAACAACCAACAACCCTGGTCAAAACTCTTGGAACACAAACACCATAGCTCAACAAAATGATGCATTTTCCCTACCCTCTCCCCCTGGTGCAGTGTTGACAGTCAACATTTTTAAGGGGAAAGGGGAGCAGAAATAACCCCCATAACAACACTCCCAAGTTCTTATAAGAGGTAGAATATGAGTTCATTCACAATAGTGAATCTTTGTGCTTAATTTTCTCAAATGTCCCAAGATATTTTGACCAGGGTTGTAGCTTCCATCTAATTCCAATCATTTAGTAAAGTTACAAAAGCACTGAAAGAAAGAACTGACTGAGGATTTCATCACTCACGGATATGTTGTTGGGGTTTAGAGATTCCACAGCATCAAGAAACAGAAACTGGACTTCTTGGTAGGAAGGAGAATGCTCAAATTCAAAATAGGTGTACCTAGATAAGTGTAAAAAGAAAAGGCAGGAAAGGCGATTGTAAGAAGGAGCATGTTTAAATTCAAGTACATGCAACTGTACTTTAAGAGAAACGTTTACATACAGCGAAGATATACCGAAAAGCAACAACAACAGTTAAGCTGATAAAATGGGGAAAATCAATATTATTACAACAAAGATGTTTGGTGTATAAATTTTGATTTCCTTTTCGACAAGTGTGCATGAATCAAAATAATGAACTCTATTAACCCTTTAAACCCTAACATCAAAATTCAAATTCTCAATTGTTATCCATGCATGTTTCCAATAGAAGTAGTGGGGAGAATTTGTTGAAGTATCAATATTAGATTCATGTTGTGTGATCATGTCCTTAATTCTCATGACCACTGTGTTTTATGAAGCAGTGATATTACAAGGAGAAATTTGATACTGATCATTGTTAGGGCTTAAAGGGTAAAGGGAAAAAGAAACACCAGAATAAGGACCTTGTTTGTTTCACTTCTCTCCCTAATTTTCTGCTTATTTGCCTGGAATTATTTTGTCCTTGTTGTTGGTCATCTACATGTACTTGACTTTATTTGAAGGAAAAAAGTTAGCACATTGACCCTGAAGATTTTTATTAACCAGTAAATTAAAATTATTTTTAAACAAAAGGGGCTGGGACAGTTGGTAAATTACACCAATAATTTATACCTCCCACTCTTCAAAGAGTCTGATGAGGAAACTAAACTGCTCAGATCTTAAGGCATAAAAATCAATCATAAGTAAAACTCCAAGGGGGTCTTCTTCTGGTTCCAGGCTGAAAGAAAAAAAAGGTAACCACATTAAACTAACAGTTGCAACATTAAGATCTAGAAAGAGAGTGTAAACTTTTAAGTGTTTTTACAGACCAAGCCCCACAAAAGTTAAGTGGTATGTTAGATTTATGAGATTTCAAGAAACCAACAACATCAATGAGGGTAATTGGAACTTCTGAGAAATGGCAGCATCATTGCAACTCTAAAATTTGTTTTTAAGGAACAAGTAGAGTTACATGTACACTTTGGTATTTCCAGAGGTTTAACCCTTTATGCACCAAGATCCACATACAAATTCTCCAGACTTATCTCCATACATTTCTTTTAAGAATAGTTGAGAGAATTTGGTTTAATATCAAAGCATTCTCCTTTTGGTAATCAATTTAGTAATTCTCATGACCTTTACTCTTGATGATCTGCTGATGTTGTTAGGAGAAAATTGATATTGGTCAGTCATGGGACCTAAAGCATTAAATAAACGGAGTTGAGACCTCAAATGAAACATTTAAGTATACAACACTCAGAAAGATGAAGACTGCTGGCATTACACACTTTCAGTTTTTTATTACAAGAAATGTGTAATTCATTTGTTAAAATAGCAGTTGGCCTAGTATTTTCACTTTGTAAAAAACTTTCACCTCAGCAGAAGCTTGCACAACTCCAAAGATGTTCTGTAGCAGCCTAAAATGAGAAAAAAGAATGACGTCAACTTGTAAGGCATGACAAGGCAGACTTCACGGTAACAAAGCGCTTTAATAAGGTAATTATTACCTTTTTGCCCAACAAAGATGATTTGACGAAACAGAGCAATAAAGAAGGACCTAAAAAAAAACTTGATACATGAGATCTTGCTGGTGGCAAATAATTAAAGAAAGATGAACAGGTTTTAGCACTGCAGTATTGTCTAACATTATATTTCAGTAATTTTTACATTTGAAGCCTAAATAATAGTGGCAAGGTACTAGAAACTTGTCGTCATTATAATGGGCTTACATAGAACTAAAAAATGGAATTGAGTTTTAAGGATGAATAAAATCTTCATTTTATTTCTTTTCCTTCCATCAGCTCTGGAGCCAAGTACTGGGTATGGATTTTGATTATTTGAAACTAACCTACACTTATTTACTTCCTTTATCTAATTATTAAAACAAAAAGGTTATTTAATATGTCACCTGTTTTCTGCCTTCCTGTAGTCAAGTCTTGTGTAGTCCTGTGTAAGACTAAACACAGTGTGAAAACTTCTTTCAAGACAATACAGGGCTCTTTCTGAAATAAAAAAATTATAATATAATATAAATCAGGAGACAATAAGGTACGCTCACAATGCCAAACCTGATGTTTACTTCATCTTTATTATACGGTTCTTGGCAATGAAAAAAGTTGCTGTTACCTTTGAGTTTTATTGAGTACTACCTTAAAGAAACGCCTGGATATATAAATATACAGGGTAAGTATTATTGAAGTTCAAACTCTATTGCGGTGCAGACACTCAAACCTGGACACTTGAAAAAAGACTGTCCAATCTCAACGTTTTCTGAAAACAAAAGAATCCCAAGTTGTTTTGCAAATGGACCAACAACATTAATAAATTTGAGGGCCGTTTCCTGAGAGGTCAAGTAAGTTCAAATGGTTTAAAGTTCACATCATTTGCACAGTTTAATCTTTATTTTTATTGGTCTGTTTGCAAAAAACTTGAGAATCTTTTGTTGGCAGAAAACGTTGTGAGTGGGCAATCTTCTTCCCTGTGTCCCACTTTGAGTGTCCACACTGAAAGCAGGGACCCTTGGAAAAGAGACGAGTGGCTGCTTCAAAAAGTTGGCTGCTTTATAGAGACGCTGTTTACAGTGATTTACTGACAATTTTAGCCCAGAGGGACTTTTGTACCTGGCCCCTAAATAGAGAGAGGTCACTGAACAGGGGTTTCGTTTCAGACCGGATGCTGGACACAATGTCTGGTTGTTTGACATGTAACGTTTAGTAGTTTGAGCATAAAATAAGTATTTTTTAAGTGTGAAAATCATTTCTTGTTTGATTTAACATTTTGATGAGTCAATGCAACAACTGAACTGGACATTTTTATTACTATCTGTAAACCATCTGTCACTGGGGATTTGTACACGCCTTCCGATTTGGAAATTGTTTTGGAATCAACTAAAAAATAAACAACTGCAAACCCATAATGATCTATTATAATTATTATTGTTGAGTCAAATATTTAATTTTTTGTGAGCAATTTTTGATGCCGTAAAAGACTTTCCCCGTTAACCAATTCCAGTCCAGGGAATGCAGGAAATTGCATTTTAGAGAGTACAATTTTAAAAATTTCCCAGGGGAACATGCCCCCCAATCCACCTAGAAGTTCAAACTTTGTGCCTGTGGCATGAACAGCGCAAGTCTGCCAGCTGAACTTCTGTATCCGGTACCTCCAAATGCTACCAAAAACCCTGACTGAATAGGAAGTCACTTAACAGAGGTTGATTGCATTACCACAGAAGAGGTGAAGGCAAAACAGTATTATATAAATGTAAACCCACCAATAAGTTCTGCAGCCATTTGGAAATCCTCACCCATTTTACAGATTTCACTGAGTTGCAGCAAGGAATCCACATGGTAAGGATGAGTGTGTAAGATAGCCTGCAACAAAATATCATCACAACAATAACCATCACTGTGAGAGAACAACAACATAGACCAGTTACTAATTTGTAATTATTGTATTCTTACGGTTTTTAGCTTATCTAATATTATAATCAATAATGTATTCTACCAGTGAGATTTTCATAGTTTTTGATTAAGTAAGTGGGATGCAAAAGGGTGTTACTTGAGTACTTCTCACATAATTTTATACATTCTGGGATATAGAAATTTTTATTATTGTCTTTCATATTTGTAACCTGCTTAATTATTATTATTTTCATGTATTGTATTATTATTAATTATTTTTGTCATGTGTTTTATACATGAGCCTCTGGCTCGGATACTCGGGGCACCCTATCCCATGCTATTACACCAATAAATTGATTGACTGATTGATTAATTGAATCAGCCTACACCTACCAACTTTTTTAAAAGTTCAAAAAAAGGGATTGTTTTTGGGAGTGCAAGGATTTTCAGTCGTGGTCCAAACATTGCTGTAGAGGACCTGAATGTTTTCTTTGTTTCGCATCTGTGGGATAACAAAATTAATACAACATAATCTTATTCATTCATTCAATAAGCTCAACATTTTCCATCTTTCAGATGAATCACCGCCTGGTTATACAAAGGATGCATTTGACATAATACGCTGATTATGACCCCAAAAGTAGAGAAGATGCATGTCGAATGTCAAGTATAACAACCAACAACCCTGGTCAAAACTCTTGGAACACAAACACCATAGCTCAACAAAATGATGCATTTTCCCTACCCTCTCCCCCTGGTGCAGTGTTGACAGTCAACATTTTTAAGGGGAAAGGGGAGCAGAAATAACCCCCATAACAACACTCCCAAGTTCTTATAAGAGGTAGAATATGAGTTCATTCACAATAGTGAATCTTTGTGCTTAATTTTCTCAAATGTCCCAAGATATTTTGACCAGGGTTGTAGCTTCCATCTAATTCCAATCATTTAGTAAAGTTACAAAAGCACTGAAAGAAAGAACTGACTGAGGATTTCATCACTCACGGATATGTTGTTGGGGTTTAGAGATTCCACAGCATCAAGAAACAGAAACTGGACTTCTTGGTAGGAAGGAGAATGCTCAAATTCAAAATAGGTGTACCTAGATAAGTGTAAAAAGAAAAGGCAGGAAAGGCGATTGTAAGAAGGAGCATGTTTAAATTCAAGTACATGCAACTGTACTTTAAGAGAAACGTTTACATACAGCGAAGATATACCGAAAAGCAACAACAACAGTTAAGCTGATAAAATGGGGAAAATCAATATTATTACAACAAAGATGTTTGGTGTATAAATTTTGATTTCCTTTTCGACAAGTGTGCATGAATCAAAATAATGAACTCTATTAACCCTTTAAACCCTAACATCAAAATTCAAATTCTCAATTGTTATCCATGCATGTTTCCAATAGAAGTAGTGGGGAGAATTTGTTGAAGTATCAATATTAGATTCATGTTGTGTGATCATGTCCTTAATTCTCATGACCACTGTGTTTTATGAAGCAGTGATATTACAAGGAGAAATTTGATACTGATCATTGTTAGGGCTTAAAGGGTAAAGGGAAAAAGAAACACCAGAATAAGGACCTTGTTTGTTTCACTTCTCTCCCTAATTTTCTGCTTATTTGCCTGGAATTATTTTGTCCTTGTTGTTGGTCATCTACATGTACTTGACTTTATTTGAAGGAAAAAAGTTAGCACATTGACCCTGAAGATTTTTATTAACCAGTAAATTAAAATTATTTTTAAACAAAAGGGGCTGGGACAGTTGGTAAATTACACCAATATTTTTTTCTCTACTTTTCCAGTTACCACCCTGCCCGCAGATCCTAATTCCTTTCACTTGCTCAAATGTGGCTTTTTTGAAAAAGATTCTTTATGAATCGAGTAAGATCTTTGTTGAGCATGCACTACATGTTGCGAGGATACAGTTTCAAACCCAGGCCTAATAGTCATGGGCTTGGTACAGTGGGCTCAGTTATAACCAATGGTTTATAAATAAACAGATGCTTGCACTCAAAAAAACAGTTCGACGAGAAAAAACAAGACTGACTAGTCCAGAATTTCAGGCTGCGGTAACTTCAAAGGCTTGACACTATTCAGGCAGAACCTCCTTGTCTCCTCTTCAGTCAAGAAGAACCTGAAAGGAGGGTTTGCTCACAGGGTCACCAGTTATATGTGGGAGTCTGTATGAACGGTAGTACACAAAAATGTCAATCTCTCTCCTCTGCTGAGGAGCTCATGGGGGTTCCCTGTGGTGCCACAGTCGACCTCTATGTGCTTCCAAGCTTTGCAGTCCTGCACCAAAGTACGAATTTCATGTGGAAGGGGGGAATTTTCGGGATTGATAAGTTTTGTAGCATATTCGTGGATTAGAATTTTACGTTCACATTTAATGAAGGTTCAGTACATTACATTATTTTATAAAAACTTACCCATGTTTGCTATCGCTAATATTCATACTTATCCCTACAAAGCAAACCATTACAAGCGAATTGAATAAATAACAGCTTTATTTAAAATAATTGGACTATGGTTACTGGATTTTTCTGCAATCTGATTGGCTCCACAGATCAGAGTTCATAACCCTTCTGAGACCATATATGGTACATGAAACTGTCATCACACAGCTTGTAATTTTTTTCTCATGGATGAGACAACAACCAAGAAATTGTTTTGTCGTGTAAAGATATGTAATTAATAATGGATGACTACTAAAAGTACAACACTGGGAAAACAGAAGTCTGCAATGTATGAAAAGTGTGGTGTAAAATTACCTTGACCAGCAACAGGATTGGTACAGATTAACCATCAAGAAATTTAACTTACCAACCGGCCTATTTTGCCTCTCTATCAGAATTGCCCAGATATTGGAGAAATTTGTTTGTGACATTTCAACATTTAACCCCACATGTTACTCAGAAGATTAAAAACTGACCTGTTGCTCCCATACGAGGCCATGTTGGTTTAGGTGTCACTAGTCTGTGGATATAAAAATATACAAGTGTCACGTTGACAAAAGAAAGTGAAAGTAATCATCTAGTGCAGTCTAAAATGGTCCTGAATTGAACTGTTGTTGACAGTGACTGAAATTTCAGCAACTTCAAAGTGAGACTATTATGAACATTAGAAAAGGGTGGTAGGTGTTTGTGTTATAATCTCATCTGGCCTGATCCAGGTTTTGTTAACAGCTATGTTTTAACAAGTTTTTTATGTATCAAAGTCTCAGCTTTTTTGGTTCAAAGTAATTTTTAAAAAGTTTTAAAGACTCTCAGTTTTGCACTTTTCAAAGACAAATACTTGCTATTCCTTATATTTATACCTACACATTGCTAAGTTCATTCAATGAATGTGAAGAAACAAACCTTGAGGAGTGATGGTAAACTCGATGATGTGCTCGTCTGTGCCTACAAGAAGCATATCCAGAATTTATGTAATAAAATTAATGTTGTTCAAGGAAGAAAGGGAATGGAAACATCTGAAGCATCTTAGATTAAAATAAAAATATGTATCACTAGCGGTAAAATAATATAATAAAACAAAGCAATCCAAAACAAAACTACCCTTTCAGTAATAAACAAACCTGTTTTCTGCACGAACAACATGAGATCCAAATCTCTTTTTCATCTCATTCTCTGCATTCAAGTGCCTGGTTGAAACAAATATCAATAATTTCATAACATCTTATACCGTAATTACATGAATAAGCATTGTGGCACTTAAAAATTTTCACGCCTCAAATTTGGCACTTATATGAGGGCAACACTTATTTGAGGGTAGCATAGAATCAAGCTTGTATCGGGGCCATGGGCTTAATTGGGGGTGGTGCTTGATCGGGGAAGGTGCTTATTTGAGTGAATATGGTTTATATTCCAAACATCAAAATGAAGAAAATTCTTTATACAGTAATGTGAAAAATTTATACCCGCAATAAAAAAATGCAATATAGAAGAATTACCACAGACACATATTTCATTTTAATAATTTTCAAACAATCTAATAGGATCTATTACCTTAAATTATGTTGTTGTAAAGCAAAAGGAGAATTTGACAAAAGTTAAATGGTCACTAAGGGCCTTATTGCATGCACATCCTTTCAATACCGTAATTGCAAACAAAATAAAAAATCTTACCTATGTTCCACACCAAGCAAAGGTTTGGTATAAAGAGACCTTGAGGTGCTCTGTCCAAATGTTGCTACAGGAGCTGGTTTCAGAGGGAGAAAAAAAAAGGTAAAAACTTTAACTCATCCGTTTCTGTATCCTAATGAGACACATTGAAGGTGGGAGGGAGAAGCAATTTATTAACCCCTTAAGTCCCAAGAGTAATGAAAATCAATTTTCTCCTAAAGATATCAATACATTATCAAGAGAAAATGATGTGAGAATATGTAAAGCAATCACTTCATAGAAAATGCTTTGATCTTCAAACAAATTCTCCCAACTAATTCATTAAGGAAATGTATGGTAATCAGTCTTGAGAATTTGTATGTGGATATTGGGGCTCAAAGAGTGAAGGGAAGTCTGAGGGTTTCAAGCTCTGATCCTTTTGAAGACAAACTCATTCACAGGGTCTGGTCTTTGGGGAACTGACTCTTCAATGGTGTCTACAATTTCTCTATTTAGTATCTTGAATAGGGTGTCTTTTTGGACTGGAATCTTAAAACAGAGTGTAATGTAGATGGAAGGAGCTTATTGACTACAAAAAGAAAAAAGAAAAAAGAATTAACTTGTTTTTATTATATAAACACCAATGAAATACCAAGTGAGCTTTCACGCGAAAACTTGATATCTTCACATGTGAAAATATCACTGTTGCCATGGCTTCATAATAAACCGCACTTTTAAGACCAAAAAAAGTATTTAAGTAAACTGGTTTGGTATTTCATTGGTGTTTATATAATAAATAGAACATTACATGGTCGCTTGGAGATACGAAATTTCTCTTCTCGTGTTGAAAAAATATTTCACGAGTGACACGGCGAAGGAATGAAATATTTTTCAACACTCGAAGAGAAATTTCATATCTCGGCACGACCATGTTATATCATCTATTTATTTTATATTATATTCCTTGTTCCTAACGTTGAGTAGGGTGAAATATTTGGGCCTCACTATTAAGAGGGACCATAGAAAATTGTTTCTTGCCCTAAACAGGATAACAAAAGAAATGGCACATTTCCTTTTGCGCAAAATAGGAAGTCCCCCGCCCCCTTTGTGGGATAAGATACTACGTCCTAGCTTTTATAAATTATGTTTTCTATAAATTACATATTTTTTCTCACCAGGCATTTCTACTTGTTTTTCTGTTTCCTGTGAGTTTTTCACTTCTTTGTTTTTGGCACAATCAGTGCTGTTCTTTCCATTCTAAATATAAAAAATAAGGTTTACTTCACATTATGAAATTTAAGAATTAACTCAAACAAGCACCTGTAGAAAAAGAATGGCAACTTTCAACAAAATGGATTGTTCATTTCTATTGAGTGTAAGAGTGTAAGGCCATGTTTTATCAACACTGTTTTTTACTGCCTTAGTGGGGATGGATCTGGTACTGGAAACAATTTCCCTCAAAAACAATATATATGTTGTGGTTCAATTTTATCCTTGGTTTAAATTTTATTTTCTTTTGTTTCTGGGTATGGTAATGTACGATAATGAGTTTGAAACAAAAGAAAATAAAACTTAAACCAAGGATAAAATTGAACCACAACATACATATTGTCTCGCAGCTATTTCTTAATTTTATTAATGTTGTTAGATCATGGAAAGCATTAATTTGGGATGAAACTGCAAAGCAATATGGATAATCTGACGAAATTAAAAAAATATAATGTAAATGTTTGTGACCTTTATCCCATTCCATGGCAGTAACAACTGTGAAATAATAATGTGATCAAATTTTTAAGGATTTATATCTACCCACATGCATGATCTTGCAGTCCTGTCGTGTAGGCTTGAGACCGTAAAATCTGACAACCTTAATTGAAATAGCTGTACACAGACACTTTCAGAATGAAGTGTTCCCACCGAAATTTAATCAAAATGTCATTTACATGAAATGTCCACATTCATTAGGAAAATTGATAGTTTAAATTTTGGGTGCATTTTTTTTGGAAAATCCAAATCTGGATTTCTGAATCCAAAAGTCCACTTTCGGATTCTCCCCCAAAAATGCATCCTTTGTACTGAAGATTATCACACTCACATTGGTAACTTTCCCATTTTCAGTTTCACCCTTCCCTTTCTTTTTCTTTTTCTTTCTCTTCTTTTTGGCACCTTGTTTTTCAGCAGGCTCTGTTGAACTTGGTTTCTCTTCTGCTACACAATTTTCAGCGGTTTCCTTCAGATTTTCTTCTTCTTGATCATCCTGAGAATCTTCAGCTGATTGTTCATCATCTACATTTAACTAAGACAGACACGCTGTAAACATACACGTCACAACAAAGTCTGCGCATGCAACTGGTGCAGTTTATAGAACCGGCATCCGGTATTTTACTTACCAAATCAAAAGGATTAACTGCGACTTTCTGTTTCTTTTTTGACTTAGCCGACGTGAAGTTCAATTCATCTTCTTCCTCTTCTTCATTATGCAAAATTTCTAGTTCCTTGTCACCCTGTAGCTTCCTCAAAACACGCGAAGACATTCTTAAACATTTTCTTTTAGGCCGGAATAGCTGTGGTGCGACTTCGCAGCCACGCAGATGGCTTAGCAGCCAAGCTCTGTAGACCAGTCTCAACTCACGTGATGAGATGGGGGATGCAGCATCTGAATGGGGGACAGCGAAAAGATGGCTTTTCGAACCGCCTGCTTTTTGCTTGTAATTGGTTCTGTTTTGATTCCATTTATCAGCGGAGTTAACGTTGACAGCTCTAGATTTAAGCAATTTTCTCACATCAAGACAAAAACTCCGGCAGCCGTGCAAGAGCAAGCTGTCATAGACCTCATAACAAGATTGATTGGTCCGAGCTACGCCTCCAAATTCACCATAATAGTAAATGCCAGCTTTGGATTTCAGCAAGATCTGGATACGTTTGAATACTTTACCAACGAAGAAGATGAAAAACTCGTCATTACGAGCACGAGTGGGGTTGCAGCGGCGCTAGGATTTGGACATTTTCTCAAGTACAGATGTTCTGGGCATGTGTCTTGGAGCGGGGATCAGCTGAAGATACCGGAACCATTTCCAGTGGTGAGAAGTCCTGTGAAAGTAACCAGTCCAAACAGGTATTCTGTCAAGAAACATTGAGTCTTCTACGTTGTGTATCTCCCAAAGGAGAGTCTGTGGCTAAACTTCAGAATACCTGGCCACTTCATATACATCTGTAAAAGATGCTTCTGCTTGCAGTTTTGCAGTCGTCAAATTATATTTTTTAACATAACAAAATTATGCAAAAAAAGTCAGACTGTGAATGTATCCTTTTTCATTCTTCCCGGGGGGGGGGGGGG